CATTTGTATATATAAAAGTGGAAAAAGAGGGATTTAATGATCAAAAGCAGTCGTCAACCGCAGTTCGTTTTTCTTTTTTTTCTTTCACTTATTTCTCTCTCTCTCTCTCTCTCTCTCTCTCTCTCTCTCTCTCTCTCTCTCTCTCTCTCTCTCTCTCTCTCTCTCTCTCTCTCTCTCTCTCTCTCTCTCTCTCTCTCTAGACTATATGTCCTCAGGCAATACTTTCATGAGAGATGTGACTCCCAAGTATAAAACTGTCATCGTGTCAACGAGGCTTTAATGCCAGCATTTCCCTCGCGTCACGTTCTTACCAAGTTTTACGTACTATATAAAATTCAACGTGAAAAAGACAGATTTAACGAGATAAATAGACTTGGGAATTATAAACCTTCACACATAGTTTCTATACATGTATATCTATTTTCAAATTCTAATTTTCCAAACACAAAATTTAAATACTTTTTTCTAAATTTCAAACTATTATTTTTCGGCAAAATTTAATAAATTCACTAATAAATACATTTAATTTAGTAAATCTAATTTAATAATTTAATTTAAATAAGGCTAATTTACTAAATTTAAATTTATTATTTTCAAGTTAATTATTTAATTTATTTAATTATACACAGATCAATTTAATTTGAATTATTAATAATATATGCAAAGTCTAATTTGAAAACTTCTCCAAATTCACTAGAATAATGAAAATTTAATTAGCAATTTCAACTTAAATTTGTTGATTAAAGTTTTTCATATTCTACCCACGTTCAATTAAATTCACTATATTTTCTAAACATTTCATTTCAATTACTAAACTTTTGCGATTTACTGAACATCCTATATATTTAGTATTTTGCAAATTTTCTTTCCAAACTTAATATTGAATTTCTTTATAAAATTTATTTCCTTAATCAAAAAATATGAAATGGATCAATTGCATGGTTGGTCATAATAAGGGGACGATACGCTCCGCACATGCTATGAAGCCAGTCAAACAGTAGAAATTGTGGAAAAATTAGAAATTGGAAATTTTAGTTTTTTAACAACAGTATCTTATGGGAAATTAAGAGAACATTCTATTATTTAAAATAAAATTTTCATAATATTTATTATGAAAAAAAAAAAAAAAAAATTTCAAAAAAATTTAAAAAAAATTGATTATTTGAAACAATGCTTATAAAATATTTATGAAGAATTCAATTATTTTCAAAAATAATAAAATTTTTCACAGAAATTCAATTCTTTTTACACATTCAAGTATTTTCAAAAATATTAGAATTTTTTACAGGAATTCAATTATTTTTAATACAATTTTACAGGCTAAAATTATTATTCTTGAAAATTTAATTTCTATTCCTCGAAAAAATCAATTATTTTAAATACAATTTTAATTAAATTTTTTTGAAATAATTTAATTATTCATTTAGCTTTTGATAAAATTTTTCCCAAGAATTCAATTATTTTTAAAAGTAATAAATTTCTTCTTGAAAATTCAATTATTTAAAAAAATTCTAATAAAATCGTTGGCAAGAATTCAATTATTTTCATAAATAATAAAATTCTTTTTAGGAATTCAATTATTTGCAGAAAAAAAATTTAATAAAATACCACACAGACATTCAATTATTGCCAAAAATTTTTATTTTTTAAATTTCTTTGTAAAACTTAATTATTTTTAAAAACTTTTCGCTATTTAATGAATTTCAATATATTTACTATATTTTCATAAAATTTCCAATCAGAATTCAATTATTTAAAATTTTTTTTTGTTAAAATCTTCGTAAGAATTCAATTCTATTTATGAATAATAAAAAATTTCTCTGGAATTCAATTATTGGAATTAGAATTTTCATGAAATTAGTTAAAAGCATTTTTCATTTTTGTTTTTAAAAACAAAATTTTTTCAAATTTGTTTTTTTAAAATTTCTTTTCTTGCTTTTCTTGTTATGTTTTTAAATTTTTTGTTTTGTTATTTTTGTAAAAATCCACTTGTTTTTCTATCGCTTTTTTTCGTTAATATTTTTTTTTTTTTTAACTTTTTGAACAAATTCGTCGTTTGTATTTATTTCTTTCCTTTTTTCCATTTAGTAATTTTTATTTCCCCCCTTTTTGTTTATATTTCGTTGTTTTAAATAATTTATAATTTTCTTTTTTTGTTTAGTTTTTTTTTATTTGTTTCATTGTTTCTTATTTTTTTCTATTAATAAATTTGTTGTTTTTAAGCTAAAAAAAACTGAAAAAAAAGTATTTTTATTTTTCGTTTTTCTTGTATAGTTTTTCAAACTGCATTTTTATATTTTTTTTGTTCTTTTTTTGGTTCAGTATTTTAATTTTTTGGTTATTTGCTTTTTTCTTGTTTATAGAACAAATTTGGTCGTTTTTCTTTTTTTCGCTTTTTATGTTTATAGTATTTTTATTTTTCAATTTTTTTTATGGTTTTTTTGTTTTTCTCAAATAAATAAATTATTTTTTATTATACTATTTAATTTTTTTGTTTTCTACTTTACTTGTTTCTTTCGTTTTTCATTTATTTCTTCTTGTATCTTTGTTTTCATAATTTTTTATTTTTTATCCTTTTACTTTTTTTTGTTTATTTTTATTTATTTCTTTTCGTTTATTTCGTTATTTAATTATATTTATTTATAATGTAAACAGAATATGAACAAAAAGCTTTTTTTGTCAAAAAACAAAAAAAAACAAAAACAAAAATCATAAAAATGAAAATTAACAAATCAACAAAAAGATTGAAAATGCAAAAGTTATTGTTTAAAGATTTTTTATGTCCCTTTCTGTCCTTTTTTATGTTTTTCTCTTTTAAATGTTTATAAAGTTTTGAACGTTTTGAACTATACGATATTTCCTTTAATTTTTATATTTTTTTGCAAAAAAAAATATTTTATTTATAAGATTAAAAAAAATTTTGAAAAATTAAAAAAATTTATTTATAAGATTAAAAAAAAATTATTTTTCTTTTTTGGATAGCAATTTTTAAAAATATTTAATCTAGTGTACGATTTTGTAATTTGACTACGATTTTTTATTCGATTTTGACTTTGACATTATGGCTTTATAAAGACTTTGACATTCACTTTAACTTTAAAAGCCTTATGGGGTGGACTAAGAAAAAAAGGGGCGTTAGGCGCATAAAAAGTGGGAGGAGCTACAACAGAGGAGATAGTGGGCGGGCTTTAGAGAGTGGAGTAGGAAAAAAAGGGGCGGTAGGCGGATAATTGAAGAGGCGGAGCTAGAATAGAAAGGGTAGTAGGCGTGCCTTATAGGGTAGAGTAATAAAAAAGGAATGGTAGGCGGAGAAAAAAAGGAGGAGCAAAAATAGAAGAAATAGTAGGCGGGTCTCTTCGGGCGGAGTTAAAAATGGGCGGTAGGCGGAGAAAAAGTGGGAGGAGCAAAAATAGAAAGAGTAGTAGGCCGGACTATTGGGGTCGAGTAAAAAAAAGGGGCGTAATCCAGAGAAAAAGTGGGTGGAGCTTGAATAGAAGGGGTAGTAGGCGGGGCTTAAAGGGTAAAGTAATAAAAAAAACGCGGTAGGCGGAGCAAAAAGGGGAGGAGCAAAAACAGAAAGAGTAGTAGGCCGTACTTTTGGGGTGGAGTCAAAAAAATGGGCGGTGTCCAAAGAAAAAGTGGGTGGAGCTTGAATAGAAGATGTAGTAGGCGGGGCTTAACCCCTTCGCAGTCTAGTTGAAAATCGCTTGTGGTCCAAAAACGGTCCGAAAAAAAAGTTTACAAAAAAATATGATTTAATCATATATAAGGTTTTTGGGGTCGCTGAATTCGAATTTGAGGTTAATTTTTGAAAATTCAAAATGGCGGATCCAATATGGCGACCAAATATGGTGGATAATTTTAAAATTAAAGCGTTTTAAGGGAAATTCATTTCTCGGGGGTTTTCGAGGTCGCTGAATCCAAATCTGAAGTCAGATTTAAAAAATTCAAAATGGCGGACCCAAAATGTCGACTTCAAAAAAAAATTTTTTTTCAGATTCCCTTAAAACTCGTTACTCGGGGGTTTTCGGGGTCTCTAATTACAAATATGATGTCAGATTTTCAAAATTCAAAATGGCGGATCCAATATGGCGGATGATTTCAAGATTGATGCGAAAAAAATATGAAGTTACCTCAAAAACCCCTGAGTAAACATTTTAGACAAATTTGTCAACATTCAAAAAATTTGATCGACATATTGAATCCAAAATTTAGCATTTAGAAAAACGAACATCAAATTCGAATTCAGCGACCCCAAAAAACCCCGGGAACGGAATTTCGATCAAAACGCATAAATTTTGAAATTATCCGCCATATTGGATCCAACATTTTGAATTTTGTAAAACGAACATCAAATTCAAATTCAGCGACCCCAAAAACCCCCGAGAAACGAATTTTAATCGAATCGCATCAATCTTGAAATTATCCGCCATATTGGATCCGCCATTTTGAATTTTAAAAATCTGACATCATATTTGTAATCAGAGACCCCGAAAACCCCCCAAGTAACGAGTTTAAAGCGAATTTGAAATTTTTTTATTTTTCGAAGTCAACATTTTGGGTCCGCCATTTTGAATTTTTTAAATCTGACTTCAGATTCGGATTCAGCGACCCCAAAAACAGTAGTATGTACTTCGCTACTAAAATCAAATCATGTTTAGTATTTTTTTTTTGAGATGGCCATATATGGCCACAGACGCAAAGGTGGCACGACTTTTCGTGGCCATATATGGGCCATGGACTGTTAAGGGGTTAAAGGGTAAAGTAATAAAAAAGCGCGGTAGGCGGAGAAAAAAAGGGGAGGAGCTACAACAGAAGGACTAAACCTCTTTTTTTCAAAAATACTAACCAAATTTTTGATTTTACTCACCACATGACTCTTATGATGTTGATGATGAATAGTATGGTGATGATGGTGATGATGATGTCGTTTTTCCTTATTATGATGCTTGCCATGATGTTTACCGCCTCTGTGCGGTGGATACGTGTGATAGAGCATATTTACTCCAATCGATGCTTGGCGTCACCTGACCTCAATTACATTGCACTTGGTGATTTGTGGATTCTGTGAATTTTGATGATTTTGATTTGTCGTCGTTGTCGTCGTCGGCAATTTTCGCACATTCATCGTATCTAAATTTGTCAACAATTTTCTATCTGCTGATGTTTTTTGTTGAACATTTGTTGTTGCTGTTGTTAATGCTGTTGATGTTGTTGTATTATTAATGGTGGCTGTGGTGGTTATTATTTGATTATTATGTGAAATTGTCGAGAGTTCACTTTCATCGACATCTCGTTTAAATGCAATTCTTGAATGGGGTACCATTAATTTAACACTCGAACCAATGGGGGTCACGGTCGTTGCTGGATCTAATTTCACGAGGGCTGCTTGTAATTCCAGTGCATCCATGTTTATTTTTTTTCTTGTTGTTTTTGTTGTTATTATTGTTGTCCTAGTGCAAGATAGTTGAAAATTAACTAGATGATTTTTTAATTTTTTTTTTTTTTTGGTACAAGTCTCGAGGATTTTTTTCGAATTTTGAAAAACTTTTCTAGAGGATTAAAAAACTAATTGGAATTTTTTTTTTATTTTAAGTGTAATTTTCAGGAAGATTTATTTTCTCACTCTTGATTTTTGTTTTTCCCTTTTATTTTGAAGTGGTTGTAAAAAGATTCATTCATTGGAAAGAATTTTTTTTTTTAATTTAAGTGTAATTTTCAGGAAGATTTATTTTTCCACTCTTGATTTTTTTTTCTTTTTTTTTTTTTTGGAATGTCTTTAAAAAGAGGGAGAGAGCAATTTACGAGTATATTATGAGAGTGATAAAGAAAATATGAACATCTTTTGCGTGACATGAAGTCCACTGATTTTTATCATTGCAACACACTCCAATTAACCGAGGCCATTCTGAGCAAGTTACACGCGTCCAGTTCCTATTGTAACGCAATTTTCATCTCGTTAAAGATACATTTCCGGTTCTCGATTGTGGCGACAGTTTTACAATTTATGAGTGTTAGATTTCTATTAAATATCAGACATTTATATATAATTACGGATTGGCCAATATCAATTCCAACAAATTTCAATTCTTAACGATTTTTATTTTCCCTTTTTTTTGAAAATCTTTTATTATTTTTATATCAAAATTTAATCTTTAAATATTTTATTATGATATGGAATATATATTAATAATAACAATAACAGTATAATAATAATAAAAATAATAAAAAATAATTATATCAATAGCAAAAAATAATAAAAATGTCAAGAACAAGAAAAATAGTAATAGTTACTATGAAAAGTGAGATGGCTGAGAGGCTTTAGTACTGGACTCCTACCAACAAGGACCAGGGTTCGATTCTCCACGATTGCGAATTTTTTCATTTTATAGTAATATAATAATAATTATAATAATATTTATAAAAGTAATAATAATACTGTTAATAATAATAACAATAATGACAATAACGTTAATAATAACGATAATAATAATAATAATAATAATAATAATAATAATAATAATAATAATAATAATAATAATAATAATAATAACGAAAATGAATAATAAATAATGAAAGTAGAGTCTAATAACATTAAAAATTGTAACAATAATAAAATAATAATTAATAATAATAGTAATAACAAAAATAATGTTTATTATAAAAAAAACAAAATTCGGATTCTTTCGATTGAATGAGAAAAATAAATTCATATAAAAAAACGTAATAAAGTTTTCCTAGGTATCTTTTTTTTCGAAAAATCTGATTTGAAGAGAGGAGGGAATATAACAAAAATGTGAATTGCGTATTATGTTGAGACTCTCGAGCGAGTGAAACTTTTCTCGAGATACCCACTAATTTAGAAAAGCATTACTCTTACTTGGCAGAAATCAGGATTTACGAATGACTTGCTCTCCTAACTTTCCATCTCGAGAAATTCAAAAAGAAGATATTTATCTCTTTGGCAACAATTTTTTTTCTCCCTCTTTTTTTTTTTTTTTTTTTTTAAGTAAATTATGAAAAAAAAACAAATGAGAAAAATAGTAATCAAGATGGTAAGTTATTATGTTCTTGTTTTACATGAAAAATAATGGAAAAAATTTTGTTTGCAAAAAATATTTAATAATTAATTATTTTCCCCTTTCTTTTTTATTAAAAGCTAATAATATTAATTATAATAAAAGTAATAAAATTAGTAAAAATAAATGTAATAATATTAGTAAAAATAATAGTATTTGATAAGACATTTTCAAAATTCAAAATAGCGGATCCAATATGGCGGACAAAAAGAAATTGAAATGTGAAGGATAAAAATAATTTTTACTTGATGATTTGGTAATAAAAAATGAAATAAATTTCCCCTGATGTCAAAGAGACACACGAAATATTTGGAAATCGAATGTTATAGAAGAAAACGTTTCGCATCGCCGAGAGGGAATTTTGCGAAAAGGACTTGAGAGGTCTTGTTTGAAATTAAAATCATTGCCTTGACAGCGCTACAGAATCTGGAGACGGAATTCTGAGAATTCACCATCTTCGCGGAGGGATTCCTTGTTGACGTTTACAAAGGTGTCGATGCACCTTGAGAGATAACGTCCTTTGTCTCTCTGTCTCTCTCTCACTCACTCTCTTTGCCTCTCGGCCATTGAACGTTGGCCAATTTTCAAATTAAGCTCTCGCCCAATTTATTTCCAACTTTTTGTTTCTTGATCAAATTTACAATAAATTTTTTTTTTTTTTTGCAAATTTTTTAAAATTTTTTTTTAAATTTTTATTTATATTCGGATTTTTTTTTACAATTTTTTTTAATTATTAATGAATTGATTTTTTAGTGGGTTGGGTCTTTTTTGTTCATTGAAATTCGTAACTTCAAATATAAAATTCACTTTAAAAATGTAAAAATAAATAGTAAAAATGAAAGTGAAAATGAAACGGCAAACTGAAAATGAAAATAAAAATCGAAAATAAAAGGCAAAATGAAAAACAAAGTAAAAAATGAAAATGGAAATAAAAATCAAAGTTAAAATAAAAGATAAAATGAAAATGAAAATGAAAATGAAAATGAAAATGAAAATGAAAATGAAAATGAAAATGAAAATAAAAATGAAAACAAAAATGAAAATGAAAATGACAATTTAAAAGTCAAAGTGGAAAAGTTCAAAAATAGAAACAAAATGAAAATCAAATTCAAACTAAATTAAAAAAAAACAAAACGGAAAAATATGAAAGTGAAAAGACAAAATGAAAATGAAAATGAAAATGAAAATGAAAATGAAAATGAAAATGAAAATGAAAATGAAAATGAAAATGAAAATGAAAATGAGAATGAGAATGAAAATGAAAATGAAAATGAAAATGAAAATGAAAATGAAAATGAAAATGAAAATGAAAATCAAATTGAAAGTAAAATAAAAAATCAAAGTGGAAAAATGTGAAAATAAAACTAAAAGACAAAATGAAAATCAAATTTAAAGTAAAATCAAAAATCAAAGTGGAAAAATGTGAAAATAAAACTAAAAGTTAAAATGAAAATTAAATTCAAACTAAATTCAAAAAACAAAATTGAAAAATACGAAAATAAAAATAGAAATGAAAGACAAAATGTAAATGAAATTCAAACTAAAATCAAAAATCAAAGTGAAAATAAAAATCAAAGTTAAAATAAAAGACAAAGTTAAAATGAAAATCAAATTTAAACTGAATTCAAAAAACAAAATGGAAAATTATAAAAATGAAAATAAAAAATCAATGTTGAAAAATATGAAAATAAAAGACAATATGAAAATGAAATTGAAACCTAATTCAAAAATTAAAGTGGAAAAATATGAAAATGAAAATAAAAATCAAAGTGGAAATAAAAGAAAAAATTAAAATTAAAATAAACGACAAAATGAAAATGAAAATCAAATTCAAAGTGAATTCAAAAATCAAAGTTAAAAAATATGAAAATAAAACTAAAAATCAAAGTGAAAATAAAAGACAAAATGAAAATGAAATTTAAACTAAATTCAAAAATCAATGTTGAAAAATATGAAAATAAAAATGAAAGTGAAAATAAAAGACAATATGAAAATGAAATTCAAACCTAATTCAAAAATCAAAGTGGAAAAATATGAAAATAAAAATAAAAATCTAAGTGATAATAAAAAACAAAATGAAAATGAAATTTAAACTAAATTTAAAAAGTGTAAAAATATGAAAATGAATATAACAGTGAAAGTAAAAATAGAAGACAAAATGAAAATAAAAAACCAAAAATTCAAACTGAATCCAAAAATTAAAGTGGAAAAATATGAATATGAAAATAAAGGACAAAATGATAATGAAAACTAAATTCAAAAATCAAATCACCCATGTAAAAAATCAATGTTTTTTTTAAATGACCGGAAATTGATTCATTGAGACACAAGAAATTTCAAGGTAATTCCCCTGAATCATTAACCAGTTACAATTTTGGCTTCAAGAGAGTTTATTTTAAAATTAAATTTGGGGGTCGAACTCTCTTTAAAAACTTGTTGAACAAATTGAACTTCATCTACATATATACATATATCAAAGACGTTCAATCTGTTTATTTCCTTCTCAATAAAAGGAGGGGTGGGGTTGAAAACCTCAAAAAGAGGGGAGGAGAAGAAAAATTCTCATAAAGAAAAAAAGCAGAAAAATTGAAAATCTGCTTTTTCAAATATAATAATAATAATAACCAGAAGGGTAAATAAACAAGAAATTTGTATATAATAATAATTACTATTTTATGGTCATTAAAAATTTGTTTATACGCATCATTTTATAAACACGCGCAGTGAAAATTTTCTCATATAAATTTTTCCCTTCATTTTCCTGTATATAGGATATTAAGGAAGTGTTTAAAATTGAGAAAATTATTATTAATTGACCTTTTGTATGATGATAACAAAATTTTCAAGGAAACTAGTTTCTCTCTCTCTGTCTCTCTCTTTCTCTCTGTATAGTAACGGCCATTGGGCGAGGCAGTTTTCATTCTTTGTGCTGCGAAGAGATGAAAAAGATTCTATTTTTGCAATAAATCCTCTTTTATTTCTTATTTTTAAATTAGCTGCTTAGTTTTTTTTAGTGATTTGTCACTAATTTACTAAATTGATGCCGAAAATTAGACATTTTTAGAAAAAATAATTATTTTTCGAGTGAGAGAAAATTTTCGAAAAAATACCGAAATACTCGAATTTTAGTTTTGATTATTTTTTTTTAGTAATTTTTGTGTTTCTTTAGTAATTTAGTACTTTTAGTTTTTAGTATTTTTAGTAGCAATTTAGTTTTTAGTATTTTTTGGTAGTAATTTAGTTTTTAGTATTTTTTGGTAGAACTTTAGTTTATATTATTTTTTATTAGTAATTTTAAGTATTTTTTAGTAGTAATTTACTTTTTAGTATTTTTTTAGTAGTAATTTACTTTTTAGTATTTTTTGGTAGTAAATTACTTTTTTGTATTTTTTTACTAGTAATTTAGTATTTTTTTAGTAGTAATTTCGTATTATTAGTAGTAATTTTGTATTATTAGTAGTAATTTCGTATTATTAGTGGTGATTTAGTATTTTTATTAGTAATTTTTTATTTTTTATTAGTAATTTAGTTTTTTTAGTAATTATTTTCAGAGTGAAGAAAAAAAAATTGATAGAAAGAATACTTGAATTGCAGGAGTCAATGTATGAAAATTCTAGAAATTAGAGGAATTTTTTTTTTGCTAATTTGTTTTGCTAATTAATCCAAAAAAGATTTTCTCTCTCCAAAAAAATAATTTTTACCGAGCAAAGAGAAAATTGATTCCAAAACCAATTTTTTTTCTATAAAGACCAAAAAATCCTCGAGACTTTTGAAAATATTTATACACACCTTAATTTTTTGTTTTTAAATAAAAAAAATTTTCTATTTCCTTTAATTTTCAATACTTTTTCTTTTATTTGCTTTGGAAAAATCACTATTTTTTCACATTTTCAAACACTTTTTGCGCTTTCGATTTTTCTTTTGGCAAAATTTAGAAATTTTTCCTTGATTTCACATCGTCGAGTGAAATTCTCGATTTTCACTACTCGAAAACGAAAGTGAAAGCGAGAGTGAAAGAAGCAAGACACTTGACTCCCTTGGAATCACGCACAAACACAAGTAAAATATAAATACACCCACGATTTACAGCTGACTTTCAATTCCAATCCAAAGTTGTTGCCAAACTTTTGGTCGATTTTTTGAAATCCAAATTTCATTTGGCACTTTTCTTGTTTTTTGGGGTGGAGGGGGAAATTTTTAATTTTACCCTCGAACTAACACCTTTTGGATCAAAAATACGTTGTTGAACGTTAAAAAAGACGTTTTTCAAAAACAGAAAAAAGGTTTTCGAAAAAACAATTACGGTTGAGGGGAAAAATTTGATGGAAAAAATTTTTTTTTATAACACTTGTAGTTGGTGAATTTTTTTTCTCTCTCTCTCTCGCACTTTTTTTCTTTTTTTTTGGTGAGAGTACGTTAGTCTCACGCTGGACCACCCGGACGCCGCGATTCTGTGAATCCCACGACAACGATGAACCCGTTACGGGGGTGTTTCGTTCCGTTTCTGCTCTGGGGTGGGATCAATATGAGGTTGGGTTGAAACGCGGGAAATTCGCGCGCAGGTCCTCTCCTCTTTCCTTGCTTTGACTTTCATCCTCTTCCCAACCCCAAAAACTTGGATCTGTCGTCTTCTTCTTCTTCTCGCCACTAGACTTTATTCACCCTCGACTACGAACCACCCCCGCCCCCTACTCATACTCTTTATAATTTTTCTTATACTCTTCGCTCCATATTCTCTCTTCGATTCCTCCTTTCTTTTTGTACCCATCGGGAAAGAAAGGGACCAAAAATTCATTTGTCTACGTTTAGAAGACACCAGAAATTGATCTCTACTGTTAAAGGGGGGTAAAAAGCGGAAAAAGGTGCTTTAAGGTCGATTTTCGTTTGCTATAATACGGGAAAAGCGACCTTAAAGCGAAAGACTTGATTTTAGCGAAAAGAGTAAAAAAAAAGTTGTCTTAAGGTTGATTTTACCCTGCCATAGTACTGGAAAAGCGACCTTAAAGCAAAAGGCAGCTACAGAGTGTTCTACCCAACAAAACAGTGTAAAAGACACAAAAAACATTTCTATACCTCAAGACACAAAAAGCAGATCGAATACACATTCTCTCACTCGAGATCACTTATCCCCTCTTCTTCGTTCTAAATTCCAACAGTGTAACGTCCCGGTATACTCTGAATCTCCCCCCTCCCCCTCTCAATCCTCTCCTTTCGAGCATCATCCCTTCCTTGACATTCTTTTCGCCCTTCTACATTCCGTACCCTGTGGAGGAGCACGTTTTCCACTTACGACCCTCCTGGGGGTAGGAGGGTGAGGGGGGGAGTAGAGGGAGAAGAAAAAGGTACGAAATGAGTATTCGTATACAAATAAAATTTTTCACCTCTTTCTCCTCTTTGATGTTATACTACCTTGTTGAGGAGTATTGAGTTTGCAACAAGTAAAATTCTCCTGTGCATGAAATATGTTTACTTTGGACAATATGGGCTTTTCCTTTGTTAAAGTTAGAAATTTGGTTGTGACTTTCTATTTAGAATGGGGAAAAAGTTTATTTTTTAAAATTATTTTTTGATGATGGAAAGGATATCGCCTCCTTTTTCAGTAAAACCGCCTTTTTCTTAGTCTCCATCTACTATAACACCTGCTCAGCCTTTTTCTTAGGCTCCACCTACTATGACGCTGCTCCACCTCTTTTTTGGCTCCACCTACTATGACGCTACTCCACCTCTTTCTTAGGCTCCACCTACTATGACGCTGCTCCGACTCTTTCTTAGTCTCCACCTACTATAACACCTGCTCCGCCTTTTTCTTAGGCTCCACCTACTATAACGCTGCTCCGCCTCTTTCTTAGGCTCCACCTACTATAACGCTGCTCCGCCTCTTTCTTAGGCTCCACCTACTATATCGCTGCTCCACCTCTTTTTTGGCTCCGCCTACTATAACGCTGCTCCGCCTCTTTCTTAAGCTCCACCTACTATGACGCTGCTCCACCTCTTTTTTGGCTCCGCCTACTATGACGCTGTTCCACCTCTTTTTTAGGCTCCGCCTATTATGACGATGCTCTGCCTCTTTCTTAGGCTCTACTAACTATAATGCTGCTCCGCCTCTTTTTTGGCTCCATCTACTATGACGCTTTTCCGCCTCTTTCTTAGGCTCTACCTATTATGACTATGCTCCGCCTCTTTTTTGGCTCCGCCCTTCATTGCCGTGTTCCACCTCTTTATTGTTTTTGCCTCCGCCTTCTAGTGTCATGTTTCGCCTCTTCTTTAGAATCCGCCTTTTAATACCATGTTCCAATCCTTCTTTGAGATCCATCTGCTGTTATTTTGTCACTCCTTTTATTTAGGCCCCGCCTTCTTTTCTAGTGTCCCGCCTCTACTATAGTCTCCGCCTACCACTGAACTATTTCTTCTCTTCTTTTATTTCTCTTCTTTTATTTCCACCAATATTCAACCTATTCTACTATTCCATAGTATAACATATTCTACTATTTTACTACTTCTACTATTCTTTCTACTATTCTGTTCCGAAGGTGGAACAACTCAATGGTAGGAGGAGCCTCTTCATTAGGCTCCAACTACCATTAATTTCCACCTTTTCTTTAGTACCTCCTTCTATTTACTATGTTCCGCCTTTTCTTAAAACTCCGCCTTCTGACAAAAATATTTTCTACCCAAGCCTTTCAAATATATGGTTACTACAAAAGGATTAAAAAAAATAGACACGCCCTTATTAATTACGACCTTTTTTTAAAAATGCAAATGATCATTGTCACTTGAGGGCGGGTCCTAAAATTAAGTTTAGAGGCGGAGCATTATAGTGAAAGAAGGAATCACTAAATCTCCAATATCATTCTCCGCCTTTAAACGTAATTTTAGGACCCACCTTCAATTGATCACGAACATTGGCATTTTTATAAATTATTCGGAATTAAAAAAGGCATAACTTTTATATGAAGGGGCGGGGCTAAAATAAAGTAGGCGTTAGTCAGTTAAAAGTAACTTTGATAACAATAGTCAAAGAGGCGTTGCTGAATTAATGAAGGCGTTTTTTTAGTCGAAGGAGCGTCGCTAAAATAAAGAAGGCGTTTTTAGCCAAAGAGGCGGAGCATTATAGGCGGATTTAGTCGAGTGGGCGTGGCTAAAGTAAAGAAGGTGTTGTCTTTAGTTAAAGGGGCGGGGCTAAAATGAAGAAAGTGTTAATCTTATTCAAAGAGCATGGCTTAAAAAAATAAGTTGTTGATCTTATTTCAAGGTGCGTGACTACAGTAAAGAAGACGTTGAATTTATTCTACAGGACGTAACTGTAATAAAAGATTTATTGTCTTTAGCCGAAGGGGCGTGTCTGAAATAAAGAAGGCGTTGGTTTTAGTCGAAGGGGCGTGGCTAAAATAAATATGGAGTTGATCTCATTCAAAGGGGTGAGTAACTGCAATGAAAAAGGTATTGCCTTTAGTCTAAAGAGTATAATTGCTATAAAGAAGGCGTTGCCGTTAGTCAAAGGGGCGTGGCTAAAATATAGAAGGTGTTGATAGTATCCAAAAGGGCGTTACTAAAATAAAAAAGGCGTTTTCTTCAGTCTAAGGGGCGTGGCTAAAGTAAAGAAGTAACTTCATTTACTTTATGAGTCATAACTACAGTAAGGATTATATTGTCTTAAGTTACAGGCAAGTGCTTGAAATAGAGAAGGTGTCGTTAGTCAAGGGGGCGTGGCTAAAATATATAATGTGTTAATCGCATCCAATAGTTCGTGGCTGAAATAAAGAAGGCGTTTCCTTTAGTCGAGGGGGTGTTGCTGAAAAAAAGAAGGCGTTTCCCTTATTCGAAGGGGTGTGAGTAAAATAGAGAAGGCGTTATCTTTAGTCGAGGAGGCGTGGTTAAAACATAGAACCAGTTGATCGTATTCAAAAGGGCGTGGTTAAAGAAAAGAAGGCGTTTCATTTAGTCTATGAGGCGAAACTTCCATAAAGAATACACTATATTTAGTCGAAGGGGCGTTGCTTAAATAGAGAAGGCGCCGTCGTTAGTCAAAGAGGCGTGGCTAATATAAAGTAGGCGTTGATCTTAATTATAGGGGCGTCACTGCAATAAAATTATCTAAAGCTACTTATTCTGAATATTTAGACACGTATCGTAATTGTAAAAATTTTTTCCCACCTAATTTAAAAATATTTTCTCCTTCTATAAAATCAAAATAGAATCAAATCGAAGTGATATTGTATTGTATTGAAATAATTTAAATATGAATAAGGTTTTTGAGCTATAATTCAAATAGTTGATGATTGAGGACAATCCACTTGTCAATTTTCTTTCTCGACAAATTTAGTTACATACTTGGGAACGCTCCCAATCGATTTGCTCCTCCATCAAGAGTGATAAGCTGTCTGGCACTTGATCGCCTGACCTAGTGTCTCTGGCCTAGTGTACTTCTACTGTACTCTAAAACTTTATCGAGTCTCTCTCTCTCTCTCTCTCTCTCTCTCTCTCTCTCTCTCTCTCTCTCTCTCTCTTTAGCTAACAGTGAAAACCTGACAGCCCGGTTTTCAGTGACTAATTTAAAACCACAAACTGGTCGATGATGCTAACCTGATGATGCTTGATCGTAAAATGATGTATTTCATCAATTTTAATGGATAGAGCAATCACTTTATTATAATTTAGAAAAAAAAAATCTGCGCTCTCTTGAGAAATCTCTTTTCAATCTATAATATTGAATTTTTAAAAAATTATTTCAAAAAGTAAGGGATAGGATTGATTTTAGATTTAAGAAATTGAAATAGAAAAAAAATTAATAAATTATATTTGCGAGGGAAAATTGATTTTTTTTCTTCTCTTTT